TTTGGTTACTCTACCTCTTGAGGTAGAGGCTATTATTAAGTCTTGGGTGACCATATTGTAAATTAATATTAAAAACTAAAAGCTGCAAAAATATATATTTTCAACCTATTTATTGGCAAATTTAGTCTGATAATTGAAAATATGGATGAAATAAGAAATATGAAACAAATAAAATAAAATACATACAAAGAAGAACACAGTTAATGTATCAAAAGTATGTCTATGTAATATTAGAAATTTCTGAGACAATGAATTTTGGTTTTTCAATATTTTCCCCTGTAAGAGGTTTTTATTCAACATAATTTTTGGACAAAAAAATCGCAATATATCACCTTGCTTATAGTATCGCAATATATCGGGATATATCGTATCGCCAAATTCTTGCCAATACACAGCCCTACTGTTAAGGGCACTTGGGACTCTGTGGTGGGTGTTGGACTTTAAATTCACCCACTGGTGTAAAAGATAAACACAGTTCCGATTATTTCAGCAGTATTAACATGAGCCATGTTTGGTATTAAATCATCGTTTTGATAAAGACACAGAACAGAAACCAGCTGTGGTTAACTCCTCATCAGTTTGTTATCAGCACCTCTGAGCCGAGCTGCTTCAGATGAGAACACCGGTTCTGTTCGGTCACCTGACCGGTGCAGGTTGTTACCGGGTCTTACCTTACACAGCTGGAAGTGTTCCGACTGGAGGGTCTCCTGGACGGCGTCGTTCTCCCTGGAAGTGCCGGGCTGAGCAGGTGCGGAGGAGGACGCCGCTGTCAACCCGTCCAGCACCTTCCGAATGTTGAACTTCTTCATTTTCCTCCGAACCGACGCGACGCTTGGGGGCGAGGACAGCTGATCGAGCGACCCACCATTAATTGGATTGAGACAAGCTGCTGCTGCTAGCTGCTGGTTAGCAGAAATAACGCACAGTTAAACAACGTCCTTCACGTCTCACATGTTAAACACAAAGTGCTGTCAGCTCACTGTCTGAAAACACGCGCCTCACGAGCGCCGACCGAGCGAGTGTTTTCCGGTACCGAACCGTAATCTGCCAGCTTGAACGCAGTTCGGTCGGGACCAGTCGTTTCCGCGAGCTGTTCCAGCAGCAGCCAAGCAGCGCTCAGCAGGTAGCACAGGCTACGGAAACGCAGTGAACTGCAGCGCGGTTTGCGCCTGCGCAGTGCGGTTACCCGGAAATAGGGTCGGTGGTGGTGGTGATTACAAAATAAAAGTCATCAATGAACAAAGATAGATATATCATGGAGTGAACCTGATCGTTCAGGCTTCCAGCCTGGGGGTAATAAACAGAGTTGTAAGTAACTAAGTACAAATACTTCGTTACTGTACTTAAGTAGAAATTTTGGGTATCTGTACTTTACTTTTCAGCATTTTTTTACTTCTATTTCTTACATTTTCACACAGTTATCTGTACTTTCTACTCTAAAAGACAAGAAGTATAAAGTTGTTACTTTTATTTCATTTCTGCTTGTTTTCATTCCAGCTTGTTATTGTAAAATATAAAAACTTTCCATATAAACTGTG